GCACAACTGTTTATTAAACCCAAATTTTTAGCAACAAATGCTTTCAAAATAATGAATGCACACAAACACAATATTATACCTACACTGAGTGGCCAGATTATTATGACCACCTGACGTTTGTAGGCAAATTAGCTATAATTAGCTATAATTTTGCGCTGAAGTTGCTAGAGGGCCAGACCATTATAAATAGGGAAGCAGGTTGTTTACCATGACAGTAGAAGTGATTTTTTTCTGAAGGTATGGGTAAACAACGCGATTAACAGCCTTTGAAAGTGGGATGATTGTTGGCGCTCTGCGCCATGGAGCGAGTATCAGCAAAACAGCAGAATTCGTTAAATGTTCAAGAGCAGCGGTTGTATTTTGTCGCTGAAGTTGCTAGAGGGCCAGACCATTATAAATAGGGAAGCAGGTTGTTTACCATGACAGTAGAAGTGATTTTTTTCTGAAGGTATGGGTAAACAACGCGATTAACAGCCTTTGAAAGTGGGATGATTGTTGGCGCTCTGAGCCATGGAGTGAGTATCAGCAAAACAGCAGAATTCGTTAAATGTTCAAGAGCAGCGGTTGTAAAAGTGTTTAAAGACTGGACTGCCAGCCGAAAATCTGGGTCTGAACATGTGAATTGTGGCCGTCAGCGACTAGTCAATGTTAGGGCAGAACGGAGAGTGGCAAGACTGGTACAAGACAACAGAAGGGCAACAGTGCAGTGTCAGATTCCTCGCATCACCTTTCAACATCTCGTGGAGTCACGAGGCGGCCCAACAAAGTCATCTCGTGGAATCATCTCGTGGCCCAATGAAGTACTGATGGGGTGGTCATAATAATATGGCCACTCAGTGTATATTGTGGGTAAAATATAAAAGATGAGGTTGTGTTCAGTAAATGGACACCAAACAGCCTTTCTTTTTTTTTTACATAAAGCAATATTATACTCTAAAACATTTTCCAATAATGAATCCAAATCAAACAAATATACATTGACCAGCAAAGAATTTCTTTACATTTTTGCACAAACACTTAAAGTAATCATGTTTCCAAGTGGCTCCAATTCTCTCGGCTTCCCTGTATTTCCTGTTCAGTGCAAGATCACAAGGGACAGAGCAGTCGACAGCAGCTGTTCATATACTAGCTTGGAGAAGTAAGAATAGTGAAAGGAGGAGCAGGAGATTGTCTTGCCTTGCTTTCTATGCCTGCGGAGACACCCAGCACAGTGCCTGCTAGCACACACAAGGGTGGCTCCATAGGACTCTGCAAAGGAAAGGAGCCGCTCTAAAACAGGATATCAGGACGAGTGCTCAGGGGATCAGCTGATTCTGCACGAAACTATAACTTTTAAACATCAAGGAGCAGCATCCATTGTCAGTAATTCAAACAGCCTTTGAAATGGCTTAAAGGAGAACTATGGGGTGAATAAATTATGCTCATCCCCATAGTTAGAGCTGGCGTGTGACATTGAAACTGTCACACGTCGGCTCTATTGATTGTGAAGTGAACGAAAACATACCGCCGTTGACTCACTTTCCGATCAACTCCATGCAGAGAGTGGTGACTGTCAGTCACTGCTCCCTACAGGGATCCCCCCCC